TCCTGGGCTACAGTACTGGGAAGAGGAACCTAGGGTTGTTTCTTATTTTCTTCTATTTAGTGTTTGAGTAATGGCTCGCTCGCCATGAAAGGAGGGCCTTTTTATTAAGTTTTAAGCAACCATGGCAAATTGAGCCTTGTTTGTTTTTTGGCTTTTAGGATTTGGCAGTTTGGTGGGTTGTACCACGGTTGTAGTTCCTATGTTTTAATATCCATGGCGGTCACATTTAGTTAAAAAAAAAATCTTTTATATACCATCTTACGTGGCTTTAGAAAAAAAAGCTAATCGTATAAAAAATGTTCCTCGTATCCAAGTATTCCTGGACATAGCTAGTCTTCTACATTTATTTTACTAGAACAGGATAAAGAACATGTATTTTAGTTAAAGGCCCTACCAGGGAACAGTTCATTTTGTGTTGATTTGGATTGGCTCCTGGTTGGACAAAAGTTTGGTAGTGTTTTATCGCCCTCGTTTCCTTGGATTCAAGGGAATCTGGACATATTAAAATCCCAGTGGTTCAGGCATTAACTAATAGAAACAGGGGCCAATCTTCTCGCTGCATTTTTTGATTTTTTTCTTTATGTAGGTCATAGTAGAGGCATCATATCTAAACTGGAGACTGGCTAACCAGTAAAAATTTGCTGTAGTATGTTGAAATAAAACATGTACAATTCACAGGTCAGTAGGCCAATTTAGTGTTTATGTAAAAGAAAATACTGCCACTGACATTAGAGGTAAGTTTTAAATACATAATATAATAAAAGGGGCAGGAGTAGTCTGTCTGTGACATCACCCATAGCGTCTGAAGAGCGTTGTGAAGCTCAGGGTGTCGGCCTTGGCTGTCGCCATCTTGGTAGGTCCTGGACTCACTAATCAAAGAATTGCAAAAGAGGTGGAGTGTGGGTGGAGCTGGAGGCGGGCTGGGGAATGAAGCCTGGGTAACTTGAACCAGCTCACCTGGGATGGACACTTCACCTGTACTCAAAGCATCCAGGCGCCTTAAACGTTGCTGCATAACTTTAAGCTTTCATGTAATTTAAAATGGCTGAGTCTATATAAAAAAAAAATCACTCCCCGTCGCGATGAATTTGGTTATAGAGGACCAAAACAGTTTTTGTACCAGGCCTGAAACACTGTTTATTTCTGCGCTGTTAAAGTTTTCGGCATTGTTAATATGGGGCCTTATGGGAGGATTGACTCAGCTGGCTTGAGGCCAGCCTCTAGTGGCTGGTCAAGCGAACTGGTAGCTTTTTTTTTTTTTTTTTTTTTTTTTTTTTTTTTTGTTTTTGCTTTTATTTGGTGGCTTATTTGCCATTCCCACAGATGTGGGGCACGGGCCCACTGACATGTTATTCACCACTCTACATGTACTTCCCACACTTCTGCCTTTGGCAAATTACTTGTCATAATATCAGAATAGAGTACAGTGCCATAGAGAGCTCCTTCGCTGTACGGTCGCCAAAGAGGTGTCAACCAAATTACAAAGGCCGAAACCAGGCAACACAAATCACAAAAGGAATACACATACAAGCCACAACAAAACACTAACACAAATAAAATTGTCACAACACAATACAAAAGTACACAACGGAAGTGAACTACAGCGGAAGCGGCATACAAACGGAAGGTGAACAGCTAAACAGACGTGAACGGTAACAAGAAGTGAACGGTAACGGGGCATGGTTGACAATGAGGCGCGATTTGTTGCTGGCAGACACTTTCATGAGAAGAACACGCTCTTGCACTGCTGTGATAATTAAGTGAAAGCATTGTTCTGTAGGCTAACTATGATAACTATCGCTATTTGTCACAGGGCAAAGAGCTGTCTTCTTCTATGAAATAGTCCGCCAGCCAACAAATCCGCCTCATTGTCAACATCCGTTAGCGTTCCACTTCCGTTTGTGACTTTTGTATTCGTGTTTGGTTGATCTGGTGGCTTTTGTATTCGTGTTGTGGCTTTTGTATTTGTGTTTTGGCTTTTGTATTTGTGTTCTGGACTTTGTATTTGGCCTGACACGTCTGGGCCACCGTATTGCTGGAACCAGCAGGGGCTGGGGCTCTGTCAGTGACCAAGTGCTGTTGGATTATCTCTAGAGGGTGAAACTCCATAATCAGAAAAAGCAGTGACAAAAATGTGTTGATGGGGTCGTGGCTTACACTCTTTTGTCTGAGTCACTTGTGCACAGAGACATGAAGACAGTTGGCACTGAGACTCAGTGACTGCAGCTCTGTGATCATCAGAACCAGCAGTGGATGAAGTTGTTAGTTATGTTCTGGGAGGCAAAGTTAGTTAAAAATTATGCAACATTCAACAAAATATACCTTTATTTAACTTTATGAACACAAGGGAGCAACCACTACGGCAAGTCCATGGTACCAAATTTAAACAATAAAAATAAACTCGAACAGGCAGATTGCTGAGCACATTCATGCTCCCCAGAGGACACCCTCACATTCTCGACACTTCATAGGTTTCCTTTGGTGCTATTCAAATGTGAAACTGTCAATTTTTCATTTGTGTTTTTATTTTTATTTTTTATTTTTATAGTGCAATACAAATGACCACCTGAAGACACCTACGACAGCACAAGACAACAGAGGGAACTAGAGGCTGACAAACCGCAAGCAGTAGCAACAATTAGCCCCCATACGACACCAAGAATAAATAAATAAACACAAACTATATAAATGATTCCCTGCAAATGTCCTCTGATGCAAGCTCAAGAAAAGCATCAGAAAATACTTTTATTAAAGTGCAATTAAACTACATGGTTTACAAAAAAACAAACAAATAGGAATAGTTTTAACTTGGTTCAGCTGAGACCATCTGCTCCATTGTACACAAGGGCAACACTTGGTGCTGGTTTTGCAGCTCAGCACTGACACCACTGACACACTGGAGGCTTAAGGTCTACCAAAGTCACTTTGTTCCCCACAAACCACCAACAGTCCCACATGCTCAGGTTGCTTTTAACAGGCACCTTCCAAGGAACCCTGGTTGTTGTTGCTGTTAATATTTACCAGCAGGCTGTTATTTAACTGCTCATACATGGACTTATGTGGAAAAGGCATTAGCGTAACAAGGCATGTGAGAGTGGCCCAGTCCTAGCTGCTTGCTCAAGTGTTAAATGTGGGTCAGATGATGGACAGCGAGCTGGGAGGTAGGTCACTGATGATGAAAATATTGACGTTGCCTTTGGGCTGAAACTATTGATCCTAATATGGGATTGTCCTAACATAGGGAGGCCTCCACAAAAAGATTTTACAACATTGCTGCTCATCTGATTCTTCGTGTCTCTCCATGGCTTTTCAGCTCTAATGTATCATATGACCAACTAGCCCTTTGAATAGTCCCTACATTACCAAGCTTCTCGCACTGCTAGTTCTGCAAAGCTGCATGGATACAGTGACCAGACGTCCCGGTTTGTGCAACATTGACCCGGTTTCAAGCTAGGTGTCCCAGGTCCCGATGAATATCATAACATAACACTAAAATGTCCCGGTTTTAAACATTCACCACCAAACGCAATTTAAAATAATCATTCTAACATTATACTTATTCTCAGTGCTTACATAGATATGATTCATGTTCTGTCCCGCTCATTTTTACCTAACCCAATATAAAAACAATGACTATGCGTTTGAATTTAACACTGATTTGTGTGAATGTGTGTCAGTCAATCAATGTGTAATTGTCAAGGCTTTTGCTAGCCTGTGAGTCATAGGCAAGCGTTGCAGACCATGATGCTTGCGGTTCTTTCTCTCAAAACTTTAATAACACAGTTGGATGAGGCA